CGGGGAAGTTTTGGGGTGGAAGCAATTCTCTGTGCTAATTACATACAGAGCAGATTGCTTCATTCTACCATAAACAATACCCCTCATTTTTTTGCTTTATGGGGAAAAAACCTGTTTTGGACCATGTTAAAACTTTTGGTTGTTGGGCTTGGGTTCACATCCCAAAAGGACAGAGAAGGAAAGGAGCTCCCAAGGCAAAGAGACTTAGATTTGTTGGTTATCAAAGTTGGTCAAAGGGGTACCGTCTAACAAAACACAAGAGGGAGTCACCAGGTTTGGGGGAATCCCAAGGTTTGTGGAGGTACAAATGAATCCCATAAAAAACCTAACGGGGTTATGATGAGGACTGGATGTCCTCATTGCCCATTGCAGAATATGCTGACTTCTCACTTCTTAGGCTGGACAGGTGGGTCTGAGACCCTCAAAATAAAATCTGAACAAAATTGGTGAAGCAGCGAAGAGTTTATTGGTTACATAGACATCCTTGCAAGCACAGGTGTCCAAAAGTAGGCACACACAAACTTAGCAAAACACAAGCTACATGCAGTGCAAGTTCTTTCCCCTGTTTCCCCATTGGCTGGGCATGCACAGGATTTACAGCCTATCACAACTGCCTAATTAAAATACTAAAATCCCCGCCCCTGTTGACATCTGCCCTCACCCTGAATTCCACCAGCCACCCCTCATATTTACCATTGTCCTAATTTGGTCAATGCCTCTATGCCTTTGTCTGTTGATGTAAGCCATGCTCTAACCACCAGTTGTTCCAGTTACAAGTGTAAGTGAGTTCTATGTCTTTTGAAGCCAAGAGGACAGAGCCACATCCTTTTTTTAAAAAAAATATAATTTTTATTTATTTTCCATTTAATGTTATACATTCACACTGTCATTATCCACTATACCGCCCTTGCTTTTTAGAGCCTATTGACTTCCTTCCCTCCCGCCTCATAGTTTTCGAAATTAACCTTTATATCATTGCAATTTATACATTTTCCAATTCTAATTAAACTTACTACAGAATGTCTCAAGATTTAAATAAATATAAAAAGGAAGAAAGTTTCTCATTACAAATCTTCTGACAACCCTGCTAGTGGTGTTAATTGCTTACAAGGATCTTTCAAATATCGTATAAATTTACTCCAATCCTTTTGGAATACTTGGTCATGCTGGTTTCGGGTTTTTCCTGTCGGCTTCGCCAGTTCTGCAAAGCCCATCATCTTCATCTGCCACTCTTCTTTCATCGGTACTTCTTGCTGTTTCCATATTTGGTCCATCTCAAATCTGTTACCCATATGACCTAGTAGCACCTCTTGCCCAATACTTCCCTGGCCATCTTTCAGAAGAAGTGTGCTGGTGGCAGTGGCGGACGTTGGCCTTTCAAATTTCAGCATAGCCCTGTGCGATCCCAAAATTCTCTGCCCCCCACCTCTTGCCTTCCATTCTAATAGTTGTGGTACCCCCTTTTGGCTTGGCATCCAGTGTGGGTGAACTGGTTGCTCTCTTCTAAATCTGCCTCCACCGGTGGTGACTGACTGGGAAAGAGATCTTGGGCTTGTGGCTGACAGCTCAGTGAATATGCTGGCTTGCTTTGTAGCACATTTAACGCAAAGGCAAAGAAGCCAGAAATCACAGGATCTGGACAAGAGAGTGTTGCTGTGCCCTCCCCCCTCAGAGGCCTGCTGCAACAACTTTGAAAGGCACTTTCGGGACAAAATTGTTCAGATTCCGGGGACATAGTCAGAGCAAATCCAGTGGGGACATCCAGGGCACAGTCTGAGCCACCTACAATGGATCATTATCCTTATTATTTGGAAACACATTTCCTTCCCTTTTGAAAATAGTCTAAATAAAGAAGACAGTTTTTAATATTGGTAGCCCTTGCTTGGTGCTTTGAGATTTGTCAGCCAAAGAGCCACTTAATTGGGCCCAGTTGGGTTGGGAGATCCCTCAAGGTCTCTGAAATACGCAGCATAAATACCTCACCAAGAGGCCGAAGCCAACACTTGCTTAGGAGGGGGCATTGCTGCCTTGGTAAGCTGAATGTGCAACCATTCCTAAGGAGGTAGCATTTTGGGCTGTTGTGCCAAGTCAGTGTTCCACAGAGCAAGGCATGCGGCAAGTTGTCCCCTTTGCAATGGTGCAGTGAGCTGGGGTTGTTTCTGACTGTGGAATCTTCCATGCAGTTCTGAGTATGCTGTTGCCACTGCAAAATGCTACCCAACGCAGCTAACAAGGCTCGCCTTGCTCCTTGCTCTGGGTTCCCTAACATTTCTTTGGAAAATGCCGACTGTAATGCCCCGAGAAAGGTAAGTGCTAAAGGAAGCAGAGACTATATTTCCTGACAGGAGGGGAAAGATTGGTGGCCTGGCTAGCAGGAGGAGAGGACAGAGAGGAGTGGAAGAACATTTGGACGCTGGTGGAGAAGAAAGCATGGTGTATACAGCATGCCTGGACAGATCAGTTGGTTAGAGTGTGGTGCTGATAATGACAAGGTTGCAGGTTCATTCCCCGTATAGCACAACTGCACATCCCTGCATTGCAGGCGTTTGGATTCCTCAGGGTCCCTTCCAACTCTACAATTCTATGATTCTATGATCATTTAGACCAGTCTTTCTTAACCTTGGGACTCTTCCAACTCTCCAGTTCCTTGATTCTATGTAGCCACCCACCTGATTTGACAGTTTTACAATGCAGCTTACTGAACATACCAAAATATTCACTGAGAAGAGAAATACATTTAAATAAGCATTAATATATGCATATAAATACATAGTTTGAGATGGAGTTTTGAAAAATAAACAGATATTTATTGTATTTATTACATTTATATACCAATGTGAGATTTATATACCAATATATATATGGTATATAACATAATATAATATATATATAGATAATATATAATATATATGGTATATAACAATATATATATGGTATATAACATTTATATACCAATGAGAGCCAATGTGGTGTAATGGTTAAGAGCGTTGGACTCGTAATCTGGTGACCCGGGTTCACTTCCCCGCTCCTCCACATGCGGCTGCTGGGTGACCTTGGGCCAGTCACACTTCTCTGAAGTCTCTCAGCCCCACTCACCTCGCAGAGTGTTTGTTGTGGGGGAGGAAGGGAAAGGAGGTTGTGAGCCGCTTTGAGACTCCTTAGAGTAGTGATAAAGCGGGATATCAAATCCAAACTCTTCTACCACTTTTATCTTCCAAGGATCTCGAAGCGGCTTCCATGGTTCTTCCCCCCTCCCCCCATTTCGTCCTCAAAACAACCCTGTGAGGTAGGTTAGGCAAAGAGATGGGGCTTGACCCAAGTGAGCTTCATGACTGAGTGGGGATGAACGTGGAACTGAAATGGAATCATGGGTAAAAACATGTGAAAGTGTCAAAGATGGACTGAGATACTCAGGTCTGCCAATTCTAATCTGGAGATTTTCCTAGAGGAAGAGACTGTATGAAGCAGACTCCCAGGTGTTCTCCGAAAGAGCAGACTTGGGTGTCCAAAACACCTGAGGGCTGATCGCTTACCCCAAGGTGGAGAGATCCAAAACCAGTGACCTTACCACCTTACCACAACTGCTTCGTTTATTCACTCAGGTAGTTCTTCTTTCTGCTTCTAACAGCCACCCACTCTAGAGAGGTGACTCCACCCTTCCCATGTAACTGAGGTCCAGCAGTCAGCCAAGTTTGGCCCTTGGTGTATAGAATTTTCCAGTATCAGAAAAAGAAGGGATAACAACCGTTAAGAGATCCACTCACATAACGGGACCTTCACTTCCCCTCTTCATAGAATTGTAGAGTTGGAAGGGACGCCAATCTCGCCCAACCTCCTACAATGGAGAAATCTCAGCTAAAGTATCCATGACAAATGGCCACCCAACCTCTGCTTTAAAACCTTCAAGGAAAGAGAGTCCACAACCTTCAGAGGGAGACCCTTCCCCTGTTGAACAACTCTTAAATGCAGGAAGTTCTTCCTCATGTTTAGTTGGTATCTATTTTCTTGTAACTTGAATCCATTCGTTTGAGTCCTCCACTCTGGAGCAGGAGAAAACAAGTTTGCTCCATCTTCCATGTGACAGCTTTTTGGATATTTGAAGATGGCTTCTCTCAATATCCCCTAGAAACCTGCTCCACAGGGTCCCCCAACCCTCTGGAGCAGTTTTTGAAGGTCCACAGAAGGATTCAGTCAAGAGGAGAGGGAAGTAACATTGCACAACAGGAAGTCTGTTGGACCAAAGGAACAGCAGCTTTGGACACAAGCCTATATCTTAATGCCTGGGATGTATAGATAACCTATCTGTAAAAACATTTTCTTAGACTCCCTAAAAATGCTATACTACAACTGTATAGGGTTCTCTTGCTAAGTATAACCATCTGAATGTTCATCCATCTTCATTTGTTTCCAGTCACATGGTATGATGGTCCCTCCCGTGGTGCATTGGTAAGATGCCGGCCTTCTACAATGCCTGTGTCAGCCCGTCCACCTTCTCCCTCACGGGAATCCCTCAGCTGGAAGCTGCCCATGTCTGGATTTCCATCCCTTTCTGCTCCATGTACGTCATGGCCGTGGTGGGCAACTGCACCATCCTCTTCATCATCCGGGCCGAGCCCAACCTCCACGAACCCATGTACCTCTTCCTCTCCATGTTGGCTGTCATCGACTTGGTCCTCTCCTCTTCCACCATGCCCAAGCTGCTCAGCATCTTCTGGTTGGGCAACAAGGACATTGCCTTCCACTCCTGCCTCCTCCAGATGTTTGTCATCCACTCTTTTGCCACCATTGAATCTGGGATCTTTCTGGCGATGGCCTTTGACCGCTACGTGGCCATATGCACCCCGCTGAGGCACAGGACCATCCTGACCCACTCGGTGGTGGCCAAGATCGGGCTGGCTGCTGCTCTGCGGGGCTTCCTATACATTGCTCCACTGCCTCTTCTTGCCCATCGATACACCTACTACCACACCAACATCATTGCACACTCCTACTGCGAGCACATGGCTGTGGTGATGCTCTCCTGTGAGGACATCTCCATCAGCAACATCTATGGTGTAACAATTGGCTTCCTGGTACTCATAATTGATTCTACGTTCATTGGCTTGTCCTATGTCCTCATCTTCCGGGCTGTAATGAGCTTGTCTACCACAGAGGCCCGTCTTAAGACCTTCAGCACTTGCACCTCACACATTTGTGCCATCTTGATCTTCTACATCCCCATCGTTGTCTCCTCCCTGATACATCGGTTTGGGCGCAATGTGGCTCCTGCAGCTCACATCCTCCTGGCCAACTTCTATCTCATCTTCCCTCCCGTCTTGAATCCCATTGTGTATGCCGTCCGGACAAAAGAGATCCGGAGGAGGCTGGCCAAGATGCTGTTGTGGTGCAGAGGTGGCCTTGAGTAAGCCTCACAGTTGCTCCTTATGTGAGGCTTATTCCCCTCTTTCTTTGGCTGAAACATGAATACAACAGCCTCACTCAGAAGGCCATGGGAATCACTCAATTAGCTCAATGCAGAGAGTCTTTTATCTAAATCACTTGCAGGTATAGATAGGCAAATTTGTTAACACTGGTGTCTCTCAGTTTGTCATCTTTTCAATGTAAAATTCAGCTCTCCACATTTCCACATCTGTTTGCAATATTTTCTAAAGTCCACAAACACATTTAGGAAGCCATATAATGTTAACCAGCCAAAGGCATGGCTAATTAGAAATGTTTTTGCCTGTTGCCTAAAGATATGCAACGAAAGCACCAGGTGAGAACTTGCCCTGTTCTTGTGTTGCCACCCACCGGACGCCTCACAGAGGAGGCACATGAAGAAGAGCCTCATATGGAGAAAGGCGGTTCTTGAGGTATTGTGGTCCTGAGCCATTTAAGTCTTATTCAATGTTCATTGAGTATCTGCCATCACCAGGAGTAGCCCAAGCAATTTTGCTGCCCAACACAAAGGACAAGAAGCATTGCCTATTCTGTGCACAAAATTGGACCAGAGTAGTAGTTGACTCTTACTTGACCACTGGAATAGGACGGTCCTTCACTGACCCCAAGAGTAACAGGCTAGCTTAGGGGCTGCAGGGAGACCACATGGCACACATTTGTAGCCACTTTCTGCCCCTCAGAATTTGTTGCCTGAGGCAACTGCTTCATGCTTGAGCCGGCCCTGGTCATTGTCTAATCTCCCTGCAAACAAATCAGGCTAGATGCTCATTAAACAGATTGCTGATTCCAAGGAATAAGGAATCAGGTTTGTTGCACTTGACCTCTGGAGAGCTGTTGAACAAAGCCTGTGCTTTTCTGTATCTGTTTGGGATCCAGAGAGCTGAAGGAGGCCTCTACTGCAACCTCCATCTGCCCACAGGCTTTGGTCATCTTCAGAGACCGCTATTGGGGAACACCTATCGCCTTCTGAGAAACATAAGCTCTCCTCTTCAGAATCCTGGGCCAGCAAGGCAACAGCATCTCTCAGGTTGATCCTTGAGGTTGTTGAGGAGCAAAGAGGGGGGTCCTGCTGGAGCTGTGAGCTCACTAACCATTGGAAGCATAGTTTAAGTGTAGCTTCTTAACTTTCTCTTTCTCTCTCTCTTATTTTTTCTCTCCCCTCCCTTCCCTTCCTTCCTTCCTTTGTTCCCCCCTTCTCTCTCTCTTTCTCTCTCTCTTTTGCATCTGGATTAATGTTTTAGTTCAGACCAAAAAAAAAGAAAAGACATTTGACAATACAGTATAGTCAATCATAGGGGATGGAGCTTATTTACTTAGTGAATAATATCACACCTGAGTCTTTTGAACTGTTGTTTTATTATTTATTGTTATTATTATTATTTATTACATTTGTATACCTCCCTATACCTGCAGTTCCTCATAGCTTACTATTGTGTTTTGTGAGATACAGTGCTATTTTTATATAAAAAGAGGGGCTGGAACTCAACATGAATGCTTCTCTTGTTCTCTTTTAATGGCAATGGCGCCCATCTGAGAGGTGCCAGAACTGAGTTCTGGCTGAGAAAAAGCCCCGGTGAGATAAGTTTGAATTGAAGAGGACGTAAACCTTAATTTTGGGAAGACCATTTATCTTGATCGCTGTGGTTCCTGAATAATAAATGTACTGTAAAGGAGATGCTCATTGTCTGTTCACAGGGGGTGATGATGGAATCTCTGTGTGTAAACAGGGTAGGACAATTGGAGGGAGGAGAAGGCATGGAAGTGGGGAGTAATCACTGGTGAGTAGAATTGCTTAACAGACACGGAAATGAAGAATGCCTGTGTGTATTGCTGAAAGGGTTTAACTGGAAGACGTCACTGAAGCAAAAGAAAAGCCAGAAGAGCTCTTTGAGCTCCTTGATGGGTTTGATAATAAGAGAAAGAGAAAACAGCTCCAGGCCAAAGGGAGGTTCTAAGGAGAGAGAGACCTTGGATTCTAGGTCTGTTTGGAATCGTCTGTTATTTCTAAGACGCTGGGCCTGTGCTGGACAGCACAAGATATTGTATAGAATGCTTTGGATGCATTTTTTGATGTGTTTGTTCTGAAGAAAGCTCTGCAAGTAAAGATTTGAACAATCTAATGGGTCTAGACAATGTTTTATTCCAAAATAAAACTTCCAGTCGCTTCAAGCTGTGCAGTCTTAATATCTGCAATATTCCCTGTGCAAGGGAGAGATAAAGAAAGCAAGGAGGAGAGCAGAGGGGGAAAGGGGTGGTGAAAATGGGGGTGCAGAGGGGGTTGCAAAATAGGAGGGATTAGGAGGCACCCCCATTTGTCAAAGCAGGGGCATGCAAGGGATGAAGGACAGGCAGGGATGTTGGCATCATAGCTGGGTGGAAGGCAGGGCCATCCCACCCATGAGGCAAGGTGAGGTGACTGCCTCGGGTGGCAGGATCCATGGGACAGCAGATCTGGCCTCCAAGGAAAGCACTGCCTGCTGTTGCCGCCACAGCGACAGTGACAGCTGCACCACACTCCTTGGAAGCCAGATCTGTCGTCTCCTTGGCAGCATCCCATGCTGAGTCTACAGTGATATCTTGGCAAACAGGAGGTTCTGCTGGTCTCCTCCCACCCTTGTTCCCAGTGTAGATCTTTATCCCCCCCCACACACACCTTCTTCCTGAGGTACTGTAGATGTTTTGTTTCTTTTTCTTCCAAAGCAACTACTCTATTCCGAACTTAAAAATGGAAAGCTTAATGCTGATGGTCAACAAAAGAGGTTCAAAGGCTCTCTCAAGGCAAATCTTTTTTAAAAAAGTAGTATAAACACCGACAATTGGGAAACAGTGGCCTGTGAGTGCTCCAACTGGAGAACAGCCTTTACCAAAGGTGTCATGGGCTTTGCAGACGCTCAAACTCAGGGCGAAAGAGAGAAAAGTAATAGAGGAAGGCACACTTGGCAAACCCTCACCTGTTGGGTTGAAGTAACGACAGACGAGTAGCAGGTGTCATGTGAGAGGCATCTCTAGAGCAAGTCCCGAGAAGAAGCTTTTATTGAATATTACAACATTGCCACAGGTGCGCTCGTTGCTGATTGGTTGACACAAATACAAAGCAAAGGTTACATATAGGCATTAATCACCAATAGATTAAAGGCTGGGAAAGGGAGCACAGAACTAGATAGGCATGAAACCTCCTAATTAAATTATAACTAATGATTGATATAGCAAGACTAAAACAATTACTAATGATTGATCATAACATGAAAGAATACAACAATCATGTTCCGTAGATGTGGTCAGCAATGCATTAAGAACAGGTCAAGGTACACTGTTTCATGAACTCAATGGGAACTGTTCAGAACATTCTCAGACTCATGTGCAGAGGCAAAAACTTCCCAGCACTCACCGTTATCAACTCCTGCCCAGAAACCAATGTCCCCACTGTGGAAGGAGGTGTGGATCCAGAATTGGCCTCCAGTCACTTACGGATTCACTGTTAAGACCATGTTCATGGAAAACAACCTTACTCGGCTACGAGGGATCGCCAAAGAAGAAGAGAATCATAGGGTTGGAAGGGTAATCTAGTCCAACCCGCTGCAGTGCAGGAATCTCAACTAAAGTATCCATGACAGATGACCATCCAATCTCTCTTTAAAAACCTTACGTTTTGACAATAGGAGCAGTTATACAGTGGAATGGACTCCTTTGGAAAGTGATGGACTTTCCTTCCATGGAGGTTTTACAGCAGAGGTTGGAAGGCCATCTGCCATGGATGTTTTCGTTGTGATTCCTACATTGCAGGGGGTTGGACTTGATGGCACTAGAGGTCACTTACAACACCACAATTAAATGATTCTCTGATTCTGCCCAATATGAGTTCTTTGATGGAAAGTGAGACTTTGCTTCCAGGTAAAACTCTTTCCACATTCCAAACATGAATATGGTTTCTCCCCGCTGTGAATTCTTTGATGGGCGGTGAGAGTGCTCCTGTCACTGAAGCTCTTCCTACATTCTAGGCACTGATAGAGTTTCTCCCCAGTGTGAATTCTTTGATGGGAAGTGAGATGGGCTCTCTGATTAAAGCTCTTTTCACATTCAAAGCACTGATATGGCTTCTCCCCAGTGTGAATTCTTTGATGGGAAGTGAGATGGGAGCTATGACTGAAGCTCTTTCCACATTTCCTACACTGATAGGGTTTCTCCCCTGTATGAATTCTTTGATGGGAAGTAAGATTGACCTTCTTACTGAAGCTCTTTCCACATTCCACACACTGATAGGGTTTCTCCCCTGTATGAATTAGTTGATGAGAAGAGAGAATCTTCTTGTCACGGAAGCTCTTTCCACATTCAAAGCACTGATATGGCTTCTCCCCAGTGTGAATTCTTTGATGGGAAGTGAGATGGGAGCTATGACTGAAGCTCTTTCCACATTCCACACACTGATATGGTTTCTCCCCTGTATGAATTCTTTGATGGGAAGTAAGATTGTTGTTCCTACTGAAACTCTTTCCACATTTCACACACTGATATGGTTTCTCCCCTGTATGAATTCTTTGATGCTTAGTGAGATTGGAGCTTGTACTGAAGCTCTTTCCACATTCCACACACTGATAGGGTTTCTCCCCTGTGTGAATTCTTTCATGGGAAGTGAGACTGCCCCTGTGATTGAATATCTTTCCACACTCTTGACACTGAAATTGTTTCTCCTCACTGTGAATTCTCTGATGGGAAGTGAGGCTTTCCTTCCCCCTGAAGCTCTTTCCACGTTCCGCACACTGATATGGTTTCTCCCCTGTATGAATTCTTTGATGCTTAGTGAGATTGGAGCTTGTACTGAAGCTCTTTCCACATTCCACACACTGATAGGGTTTCTCCCCTGTGTGAATTCTTTCATGGGAAGTGAGACTGCCCCTGTGATTGAATATCTTTCCACACTCTTGACACTGAAATTGTTTCTCCTCACTGTGAATTCTCTGATGGGAAGTGAGGCTTTCCTCCCCCCTGAAGCTCTTTCCACGTTCCGCACACTGATATGGTTTCTCTGCATGAATTCTTTGATCACAAGTGAGACGGGCTCTCTTACTTGAACCTTTTCCACAATCTTGGTATTTAAATGGTTTTTCTGCACTGTGAAGTCTCTGATGCTGACAGAATTCTTTCCTTGTACTAAAGCTCTTCCCACATTCCAAGCAGTGATATGGTTTCTCCCCTGTATGATTTTTTTTATGGGAGCTGAGATTTTCCTTCTGTGTGAATCTCTTTTCACAATCTTGGCACTGAAATGGTTTCTCCCCACTGTGACATTTCTGTTCGGAAGTAAGATTTTCCTTCTGACTGAAGTTCTTCCCACATTCCAAACACTGATAGTATTTCCTCAAAATGGGATTTCTTTGAGGGGAAGTGGAATGGGAGTGTTGACTGAAGCCCTTTCCACACTCTAAATATTTATGTGGCTTCTCCACGTTGGGAATTTTGTTCTTGATTTCCAATTCATCACTATCTGCAATGAAGAGAGAAAAAGATTGAAGCCTCGGGAAGAAATACAGCCCCCAAGTATTGAACAATGCTAATTAATGCTTGGGGTAGCAGAAGAAACGAAGGGAATTAGATGTGAGTTCATTGCCTTTATTGACAGACTTTAACAGATTTATGGGAACCTGAGATTTTAAAAGCCTAGTTCTTCTCTGGTATGGATTTCTTTTGACCCCATCATGGAATCGCCTCCATCTCCAATGCCAGTCATCTCTTTGGTCAACCCAAGACTGAGAGGAGCAAAATAAAAACAGAAAACCTGACAGAAGCTACTTATCTTTCCTAACAACTCCGAAGCTGACATTTAAAATGGCCAGGGCAGTTCAGACCAGCCTGATAATTGTTTGAAAACGTATAACTGTCGGAAGAACATTCAGGGAGAAGACAGTTGACAGTCTTCCATTCAAGGTGAGCTGTGGGGGTTTTATAAGTTCCGTCACAATCTGGGAGGTTCATCACATAGATATTCATTTTGAATTTCCAGGCAAATATGACGATCCCACAGAGAGCCTTACCAAGAGAGGCCACAATCCCACGATTCTCCTCCATGACGTCCTTATGCAGAGCTCTCTGGTCAGGATCCAGCAATGCCCACTCCTCGTCCGTGAAACAAACAGCGACATCTTCAAAGCACACTGGACCCTAAAAGAAAAAGGGAAATGTCCTCCCCTGAGACAGCAGAAATATGATCTGCTACACAATGCTCTGTTGTTTCCTTCCTGTTAATGGCTGTGTTTTTTTAAAGTGATTCTTTTGCTTCCCACTTTAATAACGGAAGCTTCTTTTAACAAAGGAATTCTTTCATTAGGCATTTATTTTATTGCCCCCTCTACTCTCCCCCTGCCCTGTCTGGGGAGGGAACGTCAAGGGGAGGAGTGGAGGGCAGTTCTCTTTGTGCTGCTGATGGGGCTGGCTAGGGGAATCGTGGCCACTGCTGGTTATGGTTTCTCCAAAGCGTAGAAGCCTATTTTAGCAGCCCATGGTCAATGTAGAAATAAAGCAGTAACTGCAAATGAATCCTACTGGCAACATTCAGAAGACTGGTATGAGTTATATGGGCAGGAAATCCCACAGTTCACAGCTGCAATTAACTCTTTATCAGCAAGAACACGGTACAGTGGTACCTCAGGTTAAGAACTTAATTCGTTCCGGAGATCCGTTCTTAACCTGAAACTGTTCTTAACCTGAAGAACCACTTTAGCTAATGGGGCCTCCTGCTGCTGCCGCGCCGCTGGAGCAATATTTCTGTTCTCATCCTGAAGCAAAGTTTTTAACCCGAGGTACTATTTCTGTGTATGTAACCTGAGGTACCACTTTATTCACAGACTTGGCTGAGTTTCAGGCCTAATGAGAACAGCAGCTCATTCCCTGAGTCTCTTCCTCCACAAAAGCAGCTGCTGAGAGTAAAGGCCCCCGACTCCCCACAGCTTTCCAAGCCCCCTCCTCTCTGGGGTTCTGACAAGTGATCAAACAGTGTGCAGCCTGCCTTTGCTCCTCCATTGTCAGACGTCTCCTGGCTCTGAGAGACAAGCAGGGAGGGTGGCTTCTAGCAGAAGGAGAGTTACTACCAGTGGCTCCTCCTTCTCCTGACTCACCTCTGCCTCTCGACCTCCCTCCTCCCACTCGCCTCCTTCCTCTTCTGCCTCTGATTCTGCACTGCATTCTGCCACAGTGTCTCCCAGCTCACTAAGCCCTGTTACCCCTTTAGCTTCTGACATCTCCTCTTCCCAGGCTTCTCCCTCTGATCACTCATCCTTCTTCCACCTTCACTCCTTGGGCTCTGAGACATCTTCCCTTCCTGGTTCCCCGGCTGCTTCCTCCCACCATTCCTCTGTGCCCAACCAGTCCATGACATTGATCCATCCCTCGGTCTCTGTCGCCACAAGGCAGCTTCCCCTGACCTGATCTGGTTCCACAGCTGCTGCTTCCCTTCTGCCCCCATGAAAAGGCGGATCAGGAGGTTTTGCTGGCATCATTCTGTCACCTGCAAGAGAAAAAAGGTAATCAGGATGCCAGGAATGGCCACGTCTCTCACAGGTGAAACAGGGCATCTCTAACTACAGATGGGCCTTTCAGAAAGCCTTACCTGCTGAGTTCAGTTGGACGTTTGTGCCCATTTCATATGTTAGTTGTGCAAAATTACCTCTCCCTTCCTTTGGACCTTGTTCCCAACTGTGCCCCCCCCCAAAAAAAGATGAAAAGAACCCACAGATTAGTTGGAAAACCAACAGAATGAGACCAAATGGAGAAAAGCCACCTTCCTCCTTACCCAGTGGCCTCTCTCTGGTGTCCAACGGAGGCCTCTCTGCCTCACAGGAATCCAGGTCCATTTCTGCAAAGAGATCCTTTCCCTGAAAAAGAAATAAGGATTCGAAACAGAGAATGGGGTGAAGGATTAAAAAACGAATGTCAGGGCCAACAGCTTTAAAGGTGTCAGATGTCATTCCATGGATGTCTTCCAAGAAAAAGCATGGACTATCAATAGAGCAATATGAGATGTTCTCCATCGTATTTGGAGCCCCTTGGGAGTATCCAGAGGAAAGTCTCTCTCACCTGCTTTCTCTCTGCCTGCTCTCTCTCCTCTGCCTGACTCAGGAGGAAACCTTCGGCCAGGGCCACCGCCTGGGAACTGGTCTCCGCTCCACAGTCCCTCACCCAGCTCTCCATCTCCGGTGGAAGGACAGCCAGGAACTGCTCCAAGATCACCAGGTCCAGCATCTCAGCTTTCGTGTGCCTTTCTGGCTTTAGCCACTGGTGGCAAAAGTGGTAGAGTCGGCTGCAAACCTCTCGGGGTCCTTTGGCCTCCTGGCAGCAGAACTGCCTCAACTGCTGGCTCTGCACCTCTGAGCGGAGGGTGTCCTCCTCATCCAGGATCTTCTGCACAGAGTTTTCCCAGAATCCCCCACTGCTCCCAGTTTGGTTGGCATGGCCTCTTCCTGCTTCAGGGCCAGCTGAGTCTCGCTCATCCATCTGTGCTCTCAGGAAGCCTCTGAGAGATCGGAAGGAACCTTTTGGTCTTCTGCCAAGTTCTGTCTGTCTGAATGAGAAGTTCTAGCAAATCCTAAAAAGCAAATACATTGTTCTGTTACAGAATCTGTAGGTCAGAAGAAACAACAGAATCCGTAAGGAAGCATGTATGTGTCTTGCCAGGTACCAGGGCTGGATGGCACCACAGCCCAAACCATGAGAGATCTTCTTTAAAAAGAGGAGAAGGAGAAGGAGAAAGCAGCCTCTAGTTCTCCTATAAGGAATATTGCAATGCAAAATGTGGAGGCAACGGAAGGGATTTGTGGGTGATTAATCAGCCTAGTTTCTCCTGCCTTCCAATCAATGCATGAAGTCAGAAATGACTGATAAGGGAGTCATTAGTATCTTTTGAAAAATGGATTCTTGGCTGTAGTGGGGGTCCTCACCTGGGGGTCCTCAGGAGTTGCTCTCCCCCCCCCCCCCCCGCTTCTGTTTTTGCACTTTGACTCTACAACGCTCTCCAGAAAGACTCCTGGGGTGGGGTCCCTTTTACTTTGCTCTGAGGGCCATGTATGTATCTGGTCAACCCCCTGAGGGCCAAGTGGGTGGGGCCAAAGACATCTCCCTTGAAACTCAGAGTAAAGGATGGGTAGTTTGATGATGATGATGCTTCTATTAGATAGCTTCACACACACACAGCCATTGATGCCAAGGTCCCTGGAGACTCGGTGAGTAGCAGCTCCCATTTCCAGCTAGTTTGCCAGCAACAATCCCTTTGGGACAGAGAGGATGTGGTCCTGGGATGCCCTGCTCTGGGTGCGAAGGGATTGCTGCAGTGGCCTCCGTGGGGAGCTGCCCTGGGAGACACTGGGAAACTGGTCCCCAATGCAGCAGGCAGACTCTGGGCTGGGATCCCTCTCTTTATTCCTATCCTTTCTCTCCCACTTTTCTTCCTCCCTCCCTGTGGGGTTTTCTTTGGGGGGGGGGCTAGTCCACCTCCTTGTCCAGCTTTGGAAAACCATTTCCACATGTTTCTTCTTTTGTGCAATGACGCTGGGTTAAAGTCCTAGGGACTCCTTTGTTTAAAGAAGGGAGATTTCGTGGGAGTTATTGATTTTCTGAAGGGGGGGCCGAAGGCCAAATGAGTTTGGGATCCTCTGATCTGCAGGAAGGAGAGCGTGGCAGACCTGGCCCCTCCCTGGCAGGACCCTCTCCTCCCTGACTTGGGGTCCCCCCCCCGCATGAGCAGATCAGGCCCCCCAGGCATCTTCCCCTGCTGCAGCCCTGGGACCCCCCCCCCGTCTCCCCACTGCACCCTCTGGGGGGAGAGAGAGGAGACTCACCAGATCCCAGGAGGGGAGACCGAGGCAGCCCTTGCAGGAGAGACAACAAAGCAACACCCCCCCCCTTCCTTGCAGGAAGGTAATGGGGAGGGAGGGGCCTTGGCTCTGGAGGACCTGCCCCCCCCCCCCCGCTTCCTGTCCTCTCTAGGAAGGCAGCTCGGTCCCCTTTAACCCTTGCCAAGCCGAGTCCCCCAGCTCAGCCCTTCCTCGCTTTACTGCCTCCCTGGCTCTGCCTATGGTAAGAGATGCTGGGGGGGGGGGCGGCTCTTGTTTGGGCTCTGAGCATCTCCCTCCCTTCTCCAGAAATTTCAGTAGCAGCTTGCACGGGAAAGGACTTTGCAGGAAGCAAGGAACCTCATCCTAGAATTCAGGAGTGGAGAGATAGGAGGGGACCCCAGGGTCATCTAGTCCAACCCCCAGCAATGCAGGAATCTCAGCTAAAGCATCCATGGCAGATGGCCGTCCAATCTCTGCTTAAGAAACCTGCAAGGAAGGAGAGTCCACCACCTCCCAAGGGAGACAAGAAAGAAGATTCCACCTAAACATTAGGAAGAACTTCCTGACAGTAAGAGCTGTTCGACAGTGGAATTTGCTGCCAAGGAGTGTGGTGGAGTCTCCTTCTTTGGAGGTCTTTAAGCAGAGGCTTGACAACCATATGTCAGGTGTGCTCTGATGGTGTTTCCTGCTTGGCAGGGGGTTGGACTCGATGGCCCTTGTGGTCTCTTCCAACTCTATGATTCTATGAGACCTTTCCCCTGCCCAACTGCTCTTAGATGTCCCCCAAGGCAGCGGGTCCTGAGTTCTAGCCCTGCTGAAATAGTGGCGCTGGCTACCAAGGAGGAACCAAGCAAAGTTCAAAATAAATAAATCATATTTCCATCCTGAATAATATCTTTTACTGCATTCCTTTTATGCTTATACACAAACGTATGCCATTTCCCCTCCCAGAAATGCTTAATTGCTCATTCAAGGGACTAACAACGGATGGTGGTGGTTGTTAATATTTATTAACCTGACATACCGCCCTTCATCAAGAGATCTCAGGGACGTTTAAAACACAGAACATATAAAAAGCAGGCAAATGATGCTGTTCCTTTTCCTCTGCCTTGTCCATTCCACTCTTTCCCTCCATTAAATTCACTGTGTGCTGAAGCAAATAAATCCATCAAACTTCATCAAGTGCCAATCAACATCTATTATGCACTACATAAATCTTGTTTTCCAAAGCAGATTCTATATGTTTATTTTAATTATTTATTAAATTTACATACTGTTACCGCCTCTCCTGATATGGGACCGCCTCTCCTGGTATGTCCCACGGAGGACCTTACGGTCTTCAAACAAAAACATCCTGAAGGTCCCAGGCCACAGAGAGGTTAGGCTGGCCTCAACTAGAGCCAGGGCTTTCTCGGCTGTGGCTCCGATCTGGTGGGACGCTCTGTCACAAGAGACTAGGGCCCTGCGGGACCTGACATCTTTCCGCAGGGCCTGCAAGACGGAGCTGTTCTGCCAGGCCTTTGGTGAGGGTTCAGTCTGACTCCCTCTCCCCTTTCACAAGAACTTGCATGAAAGTGGCCTCCCAATTTTTCTCACAGGCCCATATAAGTTCAGCACAAACCGTTGGACCGGGTGATCATTGAAGGTCCCCAACCCTAATCTGCGGGTTGCCATCTGAATGGATTTTATTCTGATCCTGATCTGATTTGAGGATGTTTTGTAATTGATTGTCTGATTTTATGTTAATGTGTTATATATTTGATGTTAGCCGCTCTGAGCCCGGCTTTGGCTGGGGAGGGCAGGATATAAATAATTTATTATTATTATTATTATTATTATTATTATTATTATTATGTTACGGAAAAATCCGGGTGCGAGGCTGCTCAGCCACCCAGCACATTGGGCAGAGCCCGTGGGTCCCTGTGGAACAAAGAAGGAGTCCAGCTACCAACCAGAGCAAATAGCTGAAGATCAAAGTTTATTGCACAACAGCTTCAAAGAGGAATTGAACCCCGAGAACGGGGTGACAAGGACTTTTGAAAGTTCATATCTTATCCCAGCATACAGTTCACTAAACATCATCACTACATCATCACTACATCAGAAAAGGGGAGGAATGTGTGGGGGCAACATGCAAATACAGGATATGTATTGGGAGTACATTCTAAGTACCTACAGCAAGAGAACAATAGGACTTAGGTTTGCATAGTCTTCCACCTGAGCAAGTCCAAAGGAGGGGGTTTGCCCAGTGATTGACACCTATGAGTCCCTTCCTGTGCGTCTCCCCTTGACAATAAAGAAGATAGGTCTCTGAATCCAAATCTGCCCGGTAGTGTGCACTAGTCCAAAACAGTATTTACTGTCAGTATAAATGGTCGTCCTTTTCCTTCGCTGATTTCACAAGCCCTGATGAGGGCTATTTAATTCTGCTGCCTGGGCGCTGTATTGAGGATTTATGGCATTGGCTTCTAGCACTTCAAAGTCAGAGACTACCGCATACCCGGTCTACCTTTCCCCATTTATCACCTTGGCACTCCCGTCTGTGTAAAGTATAAGGTCTGGGTTTTCCAGAGGAAGGTGATCTAAGTCTTCTCGGGGGTTTTCAGTCTGTCGGACTATTTTTGAACAATCGTGGTGCCATCTTCTGGCTGTGGTTGCAGGGTTGCCGGATTTAGGGAATTGACTATTTTAATGGTAACATTGGATGGGATGAGCAGGAGAGCTTCATAGCGATTCAGGCGTGGATTTGAGAAGTGGTGGCAGCCCCTTATGGTTAAAAGGGTAGCGACTGCATGAGGGACGTGGATAGTAATCTCATGCCCTAGTACTGTTTCTTGAACCTTTTGGAGAAGAATCGCAGCAGCAGCGATGGCTCTCAGGCAACTCACCGCCCTCTTTGCTGTGTTATCAAGCTGTAAGCTATAATAAGCTACTGGTCTCTCCTGATCCCGAAAGGTCTGTGTTAGAACTCCAGAGGCTTCATGGATGAATAAATTGAAAGGAATACGATAGTCCAGGAGACCTAGGGCGGGGGCAGATTGCAACTCCCTCTTAAGGCACTCAAAGGACTTATATGCCTCCTCACTCCAGACCAGTTTGTCAGGGTGGTCCTGTCATGTCATAGCTGACAAGGGCTTGGTTATTTCACTGTAACCGGCAATCTGCAGAAGCCTGCAGAAGCCTGCCATACCAAGGAAGCCCCACAATTGTCTTTTAGTTTTGGGGAGGGGAATCTTGGTGACAGCTTCTATTCTGTAGGTTGCTAGGCTTCGGGTGCCTACCCCCAGGATATGTCCAAGATATTTTACCTCTTGCTTACAGTATTGTAACTTCTTGGGGGAGACTTTATGCCCTTTGTACACCAGCTCAATGAGGAGGTGTTTAGTGTCTAATTTACATGCACCTCACTGGTTGAGCATATTAAAATATCATCAACGTATAAAAGGTAAGTGGATCCTGCAGGCAGAAGTATGTCCTGTAGATCTTGGTGTAAAATCGTGGAAAATATGGCAGGTGATTCTGCATACCCTTGAGGGGTGTTCATTTGGTCCTTGTAGGACAGATTGGACTTTGGTCCAATTGACAGTACGTTGCCCAGCTGCTTTTACACCATCTAAAATGGCTTTCTTAAAGATATCTAAGCACCAGATCCCGTTGGAAGTGTTGTAGTCCCAGGTCGGTTCATTTCATAGGACTTGAGCCATGAGTGCTTCCACCCCTTGGGGTCGGTTTGGCTAGTAGTTTGGGAGTTCTAGCACCTCTCCTGCTTTTGTTAAGATATCTGCCTTGTCAGCTTCATTAAAGAGAGCATTCAAGAGTACATGAATGTCTGCCCACGTGGTTGTATGTGTGGAGAAAATGTCCCTCACTTGCCGGTGGCATTTATCTGGGTCATCTCTTAAGAAGGCCATTTGGTTTGACCAGGTGATGTGGTCTACAGTATAAAAAGGGTGATACGTATATACCATTTGAGGAGGTCCGTCAGGATCTAATGGCGAGATTGATAGTGTTCTTAAAGGCATATGGACCTCTGTTTGGCTAGAGGTTCCCACTGTGTCAATTTGATTGGTATTTGATGGACAAGGGGCGGGTACCTCCAAGTGGGTAGAGGTTCCTGCCATGGCACTTTTTGTCTTACTTTGTAGGCAAGTAACTACTCTTTTTGTGCCCTCCTCTGCCCACCTGTCCTCTGTTCTGTGTCGCTGTCTGTGTCACTGGAAGAGGCTGATGATGTCAGTGTTTGTAAAAAAGAAGAAGAAAGCGTTCTGACCTCCCTTTGTCGCCTCAGCCTGGTCCTTGGACCCTTGTCGGCATAAAAGAGTCTGCTTTTATTCTTAAAAGTCTTTCTGCAAAAGCGACTGACCAACTGTACACATCAACACTACCAGCTTTCACTAACCAACCAACCAATCCAACCCCAAACTAACATTTCTCACTCTATATATACAACCCGGTGCAGGCCGCTGACTCATGCTGACCCAGCTTTTTTAAGCATTAAAGAAACAGTGACCAATTTTTAGCCGTGACAGATGGTGCTGCCCTTTGGTAATAAAAGGGGATCAGAGTCCGTTCAACGGAGTCATTGGTCGGAGGTCCCTCGTAGGGAGGGGGCAATGGCTGTTTTTCTGGTTTTAGTAAGGGCAGTTGTAGAGACAGGGCTCCAAGCGGAGCTTGAATAATTCCTTTAACTGTCTCAAAGGTGGCTAGGTACTCTAGTTGATGAGGTTTCTCTTCCTCCGGGGATTTAGGTGATCTGTATTAAAGGATCCGTTTGGTGGCCAGCGCAGTTCGGGTTTTGCAAAGGCTATACCGGTGGGCCAGGAATTTTTGCATAGATCTTCTAACTTCTGTTTAGACAGTAGTCTATGTCCCGGTACTGCTTTCCAGTATGTTAGTACAAATTCAAGAGGAGAGTCAGGGTCCCTCTGGGACAGGGATGGCTTCCGTGAAACCTTCCTGCTAGAGGGAGCTCACTCATGTTTCGAAGCTTGGGTACCTTTTTCTCAATTATGGTATTTCTAAGATAGAAAGGTGGGGAAGAAGAGGGGTAGGTAAGGGTTTCAATTTATC